AAAAAAATTTTGTAAGAAAAAATGAAATTGGGAGTTCTTGTTTGGTTTACGAGGAAAAAAAAGAATTAAAAATGAAATTACTTCCTTGAAACTCAAATAATTACTAGTATTTACTTTCTTAGTAAAGAAAGTGAAAATATATATTGATTTTTTTGCCATACAAAAATTTTTTAATAAAGCAATCAGAAAATTTTTAGTTTAATAGAAATACAATCTTAATAGAATTAAACTCAAAATTTCAAATCCATCCTGCTAATTAATTAAATTAATTTCATTAGTTTTTAATCATTATAAATTAATTATTGAATATCTTTTATCAATAGTAAAACAAGTTTATAATTTAAACGTCAATAAATAAAAAGTTTGTAATTTAAACAAAAATCTTAGATGTGGAAAAATATTACTAATATTATAAATAAAGGTATTTTTATCAATAAATATACATTTTTATTTTTAAACTAGAGCTCTCTAAACATAGGATTGTACTATTATATTGTCCAATCCAATCTAATCCCATTATTTATATCATATCCAATCTTATCCAATCCTACACTTCCAAACGTGCTCTTAGGGCATTTCTCCACTCTGCAATATCATATTCTCCCTTCAAACTCCCTGCTATTGAAACAATTGCCAGTGGCAAGCCCTCGCACTGCTCCACAATAAGCTTCAAGGTTTCTTCCAATCCTGAAACTTTTTGTAAAACATCACGTCCAACCTTCTCGAGGAATAGGTTTAGAGACTCCTCTGGTGAAAGAGGCTGCACTTTAACAATCTTACAACCTAAATACTTGCATACTTCAATAGATCTAGTAGTGATGACTACTTTGCTCTTATTCTGCACTAGCTCCGGGATTCCAACATCCTTGGGAGAAAACTTTTCCCTTACATCATCTAATATTAGCACAAATCTCACTCTTCTCATTATCTCCATTAGTGCTGCAGCCCGCATCATTTCTTCTTCATCTTCTAGAAGTGTTTTGCCCATAGCAAGTGCAATCTTCTTTTGTAGTTGAAAAACATTGAGAGGGTATGATACAGTAACCCAAATCACTTTTTGGAATATGCTTCCCTTCAACAAATCATTATTAACATGCTTCATGATTGTAGTCTTACCAACTCCACCAATACCGCAAACCCCAATCATTCCAATTTTATTGCCCATCAAGTGCTCCCAAATTTCACCTTTAGCAGAAATTTCACCCTCTAAATTTTCTGTTGGAATTAACATTCCACAACCTGGAGCTCTCTTAATCCCAAGGCCCCCTTCGAAAATGCCCCTCTCTCGAATCCTCTTCACCACATCAATTTTTTCACGCACAAGTTTATCAAAACTAGCACGTTTGTGGTATGAAACTGTGCCTACTCTTTCTTCAACATCTTGTATGTCTTGTTCGATCTTTTGAACATCTTCAAGCCATCCCTTTACTTCTTCTTTCACCACCTGGCCCGAGTGAACCTCTACGTTTACTTGTATTCTTGAATTAACGTCAATTTTTCTCCTCTTTAGAACCTGCCATTCGCTTCTCAACTCATTCAGATCTTCTTCAAGTTTTCCGTGGTGGTCTACAAAATTCTCAACAAAATTCTCAACTTTCTCAATAATTTTGTCGCTCATTTTGTCCATCATTTTGTCCTTCATTTTGTCCATCATTTTGTCCTTCATTTTGTCCATCATTTTGTCCACCGATGAATTTCCTAAAATGTAATAGTAATGCCGTTAAATTTATTTCTTATACGGAATAAAAAAAAAATGTAGCAAACAATGGTAACTTATGCACAACTTTAATATAAATCAAAAATTACAAACGTATTATACAGTGTTTTAAAGAGATGTCATCTATAATAACACAACAAAAGTTGTTCATAAAAATATTAAGGTTTTACTTAGAATAGTTGTGATTTTATATATATATATATACTTGGTAAGTTATTGTATTTAGAAATCAATTTTTTTTATAAAAATTAAAATTTATTTAATTTAATTGAAATATAGTTATCATTACTAAAAATATTAAAAATAATTCTTAATTAAAAATTTTTGTAAGGGAGGCCTGTTTGGTAAAAAAAAAATGTTATATTCTTAATTAAAAAAGTTTCGAAAAAATGTGTTCTTATTTCTTAATTGACACATGATTTCCTCTTAAAAATGAGAAATCTAACAAGAAATGAAGCATTTTTCCTAATACTTAAGCCTATGGATCTGCAAGAAAACTTTTAGATATTTTTAATTTAAAAAATAATTAGTATATTCTTCAATTCAACATATCTATCATTCTTTAATTTAAAAAATATTCTATTCATTTTAAAATAATAAATAAATTTTTTATTTTTCTTTTAAAATTAATAATTTATAGATAATTTTTAATTCTACTTATTTTGCTCCAACCGATACCTTTTTCGTTGAGACCTTGCTGAAAAATTATTTTTACTTTCATTTTATACTTATCAAAGAATATAATAGAAGGAATTGTATACCGGCAAGTCTAGAAATTGGGCCAAGCAAATTTGAAGTTGCGTACAACAGATCTTTATTGCAGTTGCAGGCCTATTATTCTTTCTTATATAGAAAGGTTGATGGATAATTTTTTTTGAAAGAAAAAATATGATTCAAATATCATTGATATTGATATGAAACCACCTTCAGGTTTAATGATTTATTTGTAAATTTTAGTGTTTGATTTAAGTTAATTAAGAGTTTAACTTTATCAACAACTTAAAAATTTTTCATTCTCTCGTAATTTTCTCATGTTAAAAAAAATATATTGATAGGGGGAATACATTATTTTAAAGTGATTAATTGGTATATTTTTTAATTTAATATATTATATAATATATTTATTAAATATTATTATTTATTAATATAAAATTAAAAATTAAAAATTTAAACATATAAATATATATAAAAGGTAAGAATTGAATAAATTAATTATATTTATATTATATTTTACTAAATAAATAAATAAATATTAAAAATATATTAAATTAAAAAATATATCAATAATTTTTCTATTCTAAAATTAAAATTTTGTAATGAAATTCTTATTAAAAAATGTTTTTAGTTAAATTTGATTTATAGTAGATCAAAGTTTTGAAAGTAATAATTTCAAAAAAACAACCAATAAAAATCTATGACATGAGACATTACATTTAAGAAAATTATTTATTTATCTGAATACAAAAAAGGATATACTTTTCCATGTTACAACTTCAAACTTCAAAGAGAATATAATTGAAGGAGTTGTGTACGTGCAGGTCTAGAAGTAGGTTTTCTTTTTTCTTTTCTTTTCTTTTGTTTTCTTTTTTCTTTTTTCTTTTTTCTTTTTTCTTTTTTTTTTTTAACATAGGTCTAGAAGAAGCTGCTGAAAAATATTAGAAACTGAAAAGTAACTTAGATCCACGAAATTAGAAGGTAGCATACAGCAGATTTGCATGATTTCAATTTCAAGCTTATTTTCTCTTGCAAAGGAGGTTAACAGATATTTCTTAAAAGAAAAATATGATTTAAATATGATGATTAGTTAGGAGACAAACACTTGTATATTAATTTATTTGAAGGGACTAAAACAAAAGGAGAGAGACCTAAGATAGAGTATTAATCAAGTGGCTACTAACTAATTGCTATGTAAAAGCACAAAATATGAAAATGAGAAATCTAACAA